AGGGTTGGTCTCTTGGTTCAAGGAGGTAGATGGTGTCTCCTCGTGAGCCGAGGTGACTTTAACCATGGTTATGGCCTTTAAGAGGAGGGACCGAAATATGGAAGGGTCGAATAGACCCGAGGATGTCACCTGCTCAGGAGCTGGTTCCTCATCCTCTGACAAAATGTTGTCCGCTGCCTCTAGGTCGGTTGATCCCCCCTCCCCTACTTACGATGAAGTCTCTGAGACATCAGAGCAAGGCCCCATATCCTGCCCCTCCTGGGGCGGTGGAGCGGGTGTGGTAGGGGAGGAATGTGAATGTTCCTGGTCCCGGCCGGCAGATGCCATAAACTGTTTGAATGCATGATGCAAAAAGGCTTGGAATTGACTCTGGGACCACATTTCCTCTTGATATCTGGAGCTGGCCCCAACCCCAGTTGGGACACGTCTGCTCACTGGTGTTTGGTGGGACGAAGAAGAGGAGGAGGAATGATGAGGACCAACCTGCTCAGTTTCCCCCTGAGGAGACGAAGATCGTGGAGCATCCTGTGATGATGCAAATTGAGGCTCTAGCGAAGGGGCGTCCAATGGGGCGGGGGAAACCAATTCAGCCCCAGTGGACCACAGCCTCTGTGCCTTGGAGAACTCTCTTTCCAGTGCTAGGTGCCTCCTCGAGGCCTCTCGCTCGGCTGTTTTAGACACTTCCTTTGTAATTAAATTTTTGGTTTTAGCTTTTTTCTTTCTTCCCCCCACTGCTACTTCCTCTGATCTGCGTTTTGATTGCGCAGGGGGACACTGGTCTGAGTTGCCTGGGGCGAGGAACTGTCTGCCATTGTGCTCTGGGTACTCCTAGGCAGTCGTACCCAGAGGTGGGGGAAAATTAACACGCAGATCACGCAGTCAGAGATGGAAAACCGATCCTCACTCTGAACAGCTAACAATGGCAAGAGCAGCCAGACAGCGTTCTCATACTGCCTGTACAGGCCTGTGACTAAAGGTCACTGACTAATTGAAACAGGTGGTCAAACAGGAATATCTTCACTCCTCTCTCTTAGATATGAAATCAGAATGTACACCTTGAGCGGCTCAATGCAGTCAAGTCCCAATCAGGAAAGTAGAAAAGAAGTTCACAGCACCTGCGGTGACTGTGAGACAAATACTTCCCCCCCCCCCCCGAACAGGCCTGCTCACAGACCAAGGCACTCAGGCAATACAATGATACAGTAGAAAAAACCAATTTGGCCTTCAAAATGGCGTAGCCAGGAGGCCCTTGTAAATAACCCCTTGCTTTAATAAGGATAAAGAAACAAGGATTTTATTATTATTATTATTATTATTATTTAGAATAAGGCCTGCAAAATGGCTTCTGTCACGTGACCTTATGTACAATCCCCTGCTGTAGATAAGGGAGTAAGCAGTTAGACTCGGCCTTCAAAATGGCGTCAGCCACGTGGCCCAGCAAAAGAGCGCCCTCGCTAAGACCATGTGGTCAAAATGGTGGCCATGAGATTCAGCGTCGCCAAAATAGGATCGAGGGAAGCTGAAGACCCTTGATAAGAGTTTTGGGGCAAGGATAAGAGAGGGAAAGAAAAGCCTGAATTCTCCCCCCCTTTTCCCCAGAACTTGCATTTGGGATCGCAGCCGCTGCGATCTGAAGGGAGGCTGGAGGCAAGGAACGTTCCAAAAAGCCTGCTGTTGAAGGCGTAGCCGGTTCAGCGATCCGGAGACCGGGGAAAACGCGCTCTCTCGCGAAGAAATGAGCTCCGGAGTCCTCCTGTTGATCCGATCTCCGCAGCCCAGCTGAGCTTCAGGATCGCGGAGGCTTGCCGTTCGATTCTCCCTCGAACGGAGCTTGCAGCCTCCCACTTTCAAGCCCCGAGGGGCAGCAGGGAGACAAGGCAGAGTCCTTGTCTCACCGAATAGGAAAAAAGTTTTTTGAGATAGCCAATTAGTTGAAAAAAATTTGAGAAATTCCAATCTTAATTATATCCAATTGAAGGAAAAATAATAAATTTAATTTGGCCTAGCTAAGGAGCCTTGCAAGAAAACGTCTGCTTAGCTCTAGACTAAGACAAAAAACTGGGAAGACACACCCAGAGAGAGGCGTGGCAAAGCTTTTTTTGTCTTAGTCTGAGCAGGAAGGCTGAATTAACCCAATCTGTGGACTCTACACCCATCCTGCTGGAGAAAGAGGCATACGGGATACGTTGGTCATTACTCACGTGGCGCCAGTTCCTTGAAGGCTATAAAATCCCTTTCCAGGTGTGGACAGACCACAAAAATTTGGAACCCTTGAAAACAGCCAGGAAGCTCAACCCCAAGCAAGCCCGCTGGTCCCAGCATTTTCACCAATTCCACTTTACGCTCAAGCATTTGCCAGGGGGGGAAAGAACTTCCTGGCAGATGCATTATCTCACATGCCCCAATATAACAGCACGCGAGCCACCGACTCTAAACTGATGATGGTAGAATCACAACTGGCAGCATCAGTAACCACCAGAGCCCAAGCTAAATTAAATCCACAGCTGGGTAGCCAAACCGGAATTGAATTCCGGAAAAGTTTGGAAACAGATGAATGGTTCCAGAAAAATAAACACGTGTGCACAATGAAAGACGGGCTGCCTTGGGTGGGGGAAAAGTTATATATATTAACAACCCAAAGAGTCACATTCATGCAGCTTTGCCACGACACAAAATCAGCAGGGCATTTTGGATTTGTAAAAACATTACACTTAATTAAACGGCAATTTTGGTGGCCATCCATGAAAAAGGACATAGAAAGCTACGTGGCCAGCTGCCCAAAGTGTGCAACTGCCAAGAGGTTGCAAGAGAAATCGCCCAGACTGTTACAAACAGTGGCAAATCCCTCAGTCCCCTGGAGGGAAATAGCCATGGATTTTATAGTGGAATTACCAGAAAGCAATAGGAATACTGTCGTCTGGACGGTCACGGACTTGTTTTCCAAACAAGTGCACTTTATCCCTTGCCAAAAGATTCCCACTGCAAAAGCCTTAGCAAAACCTTTCGTGCAGCATATTTACAGATTGCATGGAGCACCCCAACGCATCTTATCTGATAGGGGAGTGCAATTTACGTCTGCATTTTGGAAGGAATTTTTATAACTTTTAGGGACCATTCAGGGACTGACATCTAGCCATCACCCTCAAGGGAATGGACAAGCGGAAAATTCGAACTCAGTACTTGAGCAATATTTAAGATGCTTTATTAATTTCCAACAGTCTGATTGGATGGACCTATTCCCCTTCGCAGAAGTGGCCTACAATAATGCAGTCCACTCCAGCACAGGTTACACTCCTTTTCAAATAGCTACGGGTCAAAGTTTCAACCCCATGCCAGAACTAACCCCAAACAAACCGGCGATATCATCACTGAAAGAATGGATGGAACAATTACAAAACACCTGGCCAATAGTTAGAAAAGCACTAGATGAAGCTAGGCATGCATACAAAACACAAGCTGATAAAAAAAGGGTTGAGCCTGCACTATTCATTATAGGAGAAATGGTGTACTTATCTACAAAATACCTAAAATCCCTACAACCCTGTCAAAAACATGGACCAAAATATATAGGACCTTTTCCAATTAAAAGAATCATAAACCCAGTAACAGTAGAATTAGAATTACCCAAAATTCTTAGGCAAATACACCCAATTTTTCACTGCAGTTTGCTGAAAAGAAAACATCAGTCACCCTTACGGCCAAAAATCCCCCCCAACCACCTCCAATCATGGTGGAAGGCAAACAACACTTCAAGATAAAGGAAATCCTAGACTCTAGGAGATATCATGGGGCAACTCAATACCTAGTAGCATGGAAACACCTCCCCGCCTCATAAAACGAGTGGGTCCATAAACGTCATGTCAGAACCCCGAAGCTATTAAAGACGTTTCATACAGAGTATCCTAACAAGCCAGACTAACTTTTATACTTGTTTTATTTTCTTTACAGGTGGATCTCTCTTATTTTTAAGGAGGGGCAGGATGTCAGAATCCAATTATATTTCATTTCTAGCTACCTACTCTGAAAAAAACCCATTTCTTACTCTCTCTGGATTCTGTCATACTACGAAAGGGGAGGAGGATAAGCAAGGGGTTTTTATAACTCTCACTTCCTTCATTAAACTACAAAGTGACTGGATGTTGATTCTCATCAAGAGGACTGACCATAACAATATGGCCATCACCTTTCATCTACTCTCTCTCTCTGAAGTCTCCCTTTTGTCGGCAGTGAGAGAAAAGGGGGGAAACAATGTAACACTGGGATCTGGGAAAAGAGAGGATGAGTGATCGTCGCCCGGAAGAACTATGGGGTGGGAGCTGCTTGGGAACACTTAAAACATTGAAGGATGGGAAGAATTCCCCAGATCCTGTCTAGCATGCCTGTAATCATTTTCTCTTAATAAAGATGCCTGTTGGAAGAGATATTCCAAGAGTTCTGTCTTCTTAGGACGTAAAGTGAGGTGGGTCCTTACACACCTTTTGCAATCTTGTGATAAGCAAAGTCAATAGGAAGCCAGAGACACTTAATAACCATATTCCTAATTTAATAACAAGTGATTCACTTAACAACTGTGATCAGAAAAGTCATAAAATGGGTCAAAATTCACAACAGTCTTGCTTAGCAACAGAAATCTTGGGCTTAATTGTGGTTGTAAATTGAGGACTACCTGTACATCTAAATGGTGATCAATGAACTATTAACTATATTAATTATGGTAAATAGGTTTCAAAAAAACAGGAAAAGAAACCAACTGTAAGGATTTTATATGGTGACATCTTTAGTTTAACCCTTAACCATAGTTTTTGTTAATTCTGGTTAATGGGAACTTTGTTTTCTTGATTTGTTTCACTTCTCATAGAAAGTAATGAAAGAGAGTAAAGGAATGGCATTAATATTCATGAGGCATGAACTGTGTATTTCATTTAAAGACAAAATATGAATATGTGAATATAGCCAATGCTGAAAACTTCTCCAAAATTTCACATTTGTTTACTGTATACCTGGTAAATTTGTTGATCCTACAACTTTCAGTGCACGAGGATCTATTCTGGTAGAAGAATGAGCTGTCAAAAAAGAGAGAAAAAATAGCATAATTTCAAATCTTAGAAAAATAACTACACACAAATGACTGTTGACTAATCAGAGAACAATAACAGATCAAAGCAACCACAGTCACTTCACACACAATTGCAAGAATACAGAATGAAATGGCCATATTCAAACAATCATCCAAACATTTTAAAATTATTTGTTCCAATATCTCAGGGGCTGCCACAAAGAAGAGGGAGTCAAGCTATTTTCCAAAGCGCCTGAAGGCAGGACAAGGAGCAACAGGTAGAAGCTAACCAAAGAGAGAAGCAACCTAGAACTAAGGAGAAACTTCCTGATGGTTAGAACAATTAACCAGTGGAACAACCTGCCTCCAGAAGGGGTGAATGCGCCAACACTGGAAGTTTTTAAGAAGAAACTGGACAGCCATTTGTCCGAAATGGTATAGGGTTTCCTGCCTGAGCAGAGAGTTGGACTAGATGACCTCCAAGGTCCCTTCCAACTTTATTATTATTATTATTATTATTATTATTATTATTATTATTATTATTATTATTTCAAGATGCCTTGGATAAATGCTGAAATATTACATTCTTCTTTGCTGTTCCCATCATGCTAGATTTGGTGCTAGACTTGCACAGGATAAGTATTTCACTCTATACCCAAATCAGAAAATGCTGGTTTAATATTAGGTATCAAAGCGATAATATCCTAAATAATTTACCTATGCTGATTATCGTTATTCTTTTGAAAAAGCCAACATTTTCATAAATCAAGAATAAATTGGAAGATTTCAATCAAAATTCAATGCATGATCTTATGGCCAATCTCAAAAAAGAGGTAGGGCCAGAGCAAAACATATCCAAATTTTCAAAATTCTTATCAGTCTTTATTTATTAATTTGCAAAACACTATTTATTTATATATTAATCCCTATGAAAAATATAAGACTGATACATTACTTTGACAATTGATTTCTTAGCACATTCCTCGCATTAATTTCAGAAACACAATATTCATTTAAATTATATTTTAATTTCCTATTCAGTTTTGATCAATTTTTAATCAATTCATGTCATTTACTGCACTTATAAATTACTTGCAAATATTAACAGTACTGATTTTTAAGACCATTAAGAACATCTAATTCTGTTTGATGGCTTCAGGTTTCCTTTAAGAGAGCTACTAACTTTGAGAACAAAGGGAAAAGCACTTTGCCTCTAAATATCAAAGTATCTGCTACTGACTGTCATGGTTTCCAAATGTCATTGTGCAGGAAGAACAGAATCAGAATTAAATGAAAAGCTAACTAACAGTTATGTTGAGTGATACAGGGAACAAAAAATATGTTTGGCATAAAAAGTGCCAATCAGCTGCTCTGCTGCCAGATTTTGGTGACAAGCCACCACTAAGTTTTAGAAGCAATCTAAGGCATACCCAAAGCGTTACAGGTAGTCCTTGATTTACAACCACAAATGAGTCCAAAATTTCTGTTGTTAAGTGAGACATTTGTTAAGTTAGCTTTGCCTCCTTTTATGACCTTCCTTACCAGAGTTGTTAAGTGAATCACTGCAATTGATAAGTTAGTAACCCAGTTGTTAAGTGAATCTGGCTTTCCCATTGAGATTGTCAGGTCACAAAAGGTGATCACATGATTTTGAGACAGAGCAACGGTCATAAATATGAACCAGTTGCCAGGCATCTAAATTTTGATCATTTGACTATGGGGATGCTGCAAAGGTTATAACTCTGAAAAACAGTCATAAATCACTTCTTTCAGTGTGTTTGTAACATTGAACAGTCACTAAATGAACTGTTGTAAGTCGAGGACTACCTATATTTGGTTATTGTCCTAGGTAAACATATGGAAACTGCAGATATATATTCAAATGCTATGCCAATTGATGGGTATCTTTGATATCTAAACTGTTAACTAAAGCATTATTGGGCTATATGCAACCTATGGGCATTCATTCCTGGTGTAGCAGAATGAATATGTGATGAAAATGGTAACACATACAGTAAGTTCATGAACTATACAACTTCAGACAATTATATAAACAAATTATTAGCATAGTAATATTAATGAAATGTAACAAAACATGATTCGCACTCTCAGTTAAACAAATGTAATCTTCTTGGAAGAGACTGGAAGTAAATATAAAAAAGTTTGTTAATTTTTCCAACATATCCAGTAGATTAGGGGTCTTCAAACGTGGCCCTTTTATGACTTGTGGACTTGGTAAAGATAAAAGTAGACTAGCTATAGTTTATTTTATTAAATGTCTAATTAAAGTCTAAATAAATTACGTCCACAGTATTTCCCTGACCTATCAATTTAGTCACTTTGTCAAAAAAGAATGCAATTAGGTTTCTCTGCCATGATCTGCAAAGCTACAAATGCTTTTAGTAATAACTTTGCTTGTTTCAAGGTGTTGCAGATTCCTTGCTTAACTTTTCCAAGATTTTCCCAGATATTGATATCAGGGTGTTTTGCCTGTAGTTTCCTAGATCCATTTTTCCTTTTTTGAACATGGGAACCTTAGTTCCCTAGTGCTCCAGAAGTTTTGAAAGATTTGGTTCAGAGATTCCATCTGCCTAGTTCAGAGATCCTTCAGAACCCTGAGATGCAATCCATCTGGTCTTGATGATTTCAAGTCATCTAGAGTGGAAAGGTGTTGTCTTGTTATTTCTTTGCCTATTTTGACTTGTACTCCTAGTCTGCCTTCTGCAGTACTTCTTTTGATAGGTTGGGTTGTTTTTCTTTTTGCATAAAGAGTGAATTAAGAAGTTCTGCTTTCTCCCTGCTACCTAATACTTCCTTGCCAATTTCTCCCTTTAGTGGAATGATCATTTTCTTAACTTTTTTGAATTTTTAACATGCTGAAAGAAACTTTATTTTTATTTTTGGCATTTGTTGCAAGTCTCAGTTCATTCTGAGTGTTAGCTTTCCTGACTTTGTCCCGGCAGATTAGGGCTGTTTGCTGGTGTTGTTTCTTTCCATTTTTTATACCTGTCTTTTATGTTTCAGGTTAGCTGAGAATTTTTTTTTATATACAACCATGCTGGTTTCATATGTGGTCTCTTATTTTTCTTTCTCAATGGTATTGTATTAGTCTGGGCTTTTGTAATCTCATATTTCAGAGTTTCCCAAGCGTTTTGAGTTATTTGCCCTTTCAGATTTCCATTCATGGAATCCTTCCTAAGCTCTTTCTAAGTTTGTTGAAGTCAGTTCTGTTATAAAGTCTAAGATATTAATTTGACTCTGGTAAATTACTTGTGCCTGAATTAATACTGAATTCCAATATGACATGGTCACTCACTCCTAAAAGTCCCTGCAACTTCAATCCCTTCTATAATTTCATTTCTGTTAGCAAGAAATCCAGTATAGCTGATCTTCTGGTTCCCTCCTCTGCTTTTTGGATGACAAAGTTTTCTGCCAGGATCATCAGGAACTTGCTTGGTCTCTCAGCTGGTGCAGTGTTTTTCTTCCAGTTGATACAATTATACTGTATCATGCTTCCTGCACCCCTTAGCTAAGTGATTAGCAAAAAAGTTCATCTATTCCTTTTTTTATTTTATATTAACTCAAATGCATTCAAAATTTTGTTTCTTAGGGATTTTTTGCATTTCTATAGAAGTGTAGTTATTTCTTATATACATAAAGCAACTCCATATCCTCTTTTTTAGATCTGTTTCTTTTGAACAATTTTTTTTTTTCAAAATTTTTTTTTATTATTTTCAACATAAGAAAAAAGCAAACACAAGTACATCACAATTGGAAAACCCCCTCCCCACCCCCCACCCGGACTTCCCAAACCTAATCCCAGGATACTATTCATCTAAAAGTAACCTTATATTAATATCCCTAACTCCACAAAATATAATTCTACATAAATAGGTGAAATATATGTATATATA